CGACCGCGACGCCTCGCCGAAACGACGGCGACGCCCGCTGAAACGACTGTGACGCCCGCTGAAACGACTGCGACCCCCGCCGAGACGACTGTGACGCCCGCTGAACGACGGCGACGCCTGCCGAGACGACGGCGACGCCTGCCGAGACGACGGCGACCCCAGCTGAGACGACGGCGACCCCGGCTGAAACGACGGCAACGCCCGCAGAAACGACGGCGACCCCGGCCGTAACGACGGCAACGCCCGCGGAAACGACGGCGACGCCCGCAGAAACGACTGTGACGCCCGCCGGAGTCCCAGTGGCCGCCATCTTGTTGGCCAGGTATGAGGTTGTCCCGAACGGCCACGAGGTTGTTCCGATCAACAAAGAGACCATCGAGGCCGCGCACCACTGCCCGACGGACGGTCTCCTCGAGTACTGCAACGTCGACCAGTACGCGTCGTACCTTGAGTACCAGCTCTTCGACCACGCCAACTGCGACATTGCCGACCTCCGCACGCAGCACACGGACTACTCGTCGTCGTACCAGACGATCGCGTGCCTCTACAAGATCTTCTCGCTCAAGTGCGACTGCATGGAAGCCGTTCTCTCGTGCTACTCGGTGTCGTCGCACTACGCGTCGTCGCTCTCCAAGGTCATTGGCCAAGCCGCCTCGATCCTCTGCGGCTTTGTGCTCTGCCAGCGCCCCAACGTCTACGCACTCTTTGGCGACGAGTACGCGATCGACCGCGCGTCGCTCATGCGCCAGCTGCTCATGTCCGCGGGCATCTTTAGCGCCGGCGAAGTGTCGCCCGCGGCTGCCGTTTTCCTTTCGTTTGGTATTGGCATGGTTGCGCTGGTCGTCGCCAAGACGGTTGCGGCCACAAAGAAGGCTAAGACCGTCGATATGGAAGAAGGGTACGAGAATCTTATCTAAGTGCCCGGCAGGCTGCAACACAATGCGTCATGGATGTTAATCTACAAAATAATTCACGTTACCTAACCCTTGTCATACCCGCACGTTTAAGGTGTTATCATCGGAATCGCACACTTTACGCACACCCACTCAGAGTCGTCAGTGCACCGACGTGAGCAAGATGGCAGTTGGCAGGCTACATGCCGTCGTCGAGATGCCACAACCAAGTGACAATACTACTGGAGTATTATTGGACCCTACCCCTACTTGCATTGGTAGGTCAATTCATGGGTTCTAAAATGTAGGACCTAGGAGCTAAGATCTCGGAACCCACTCGATGCGGCCGCGACCGTGCTTTTCGAGGTACGCATTGATCTTTGAAAAGCAGTGCGAGCCGCTAACGCCGTCGTTGCAGTCGAGCAGGAGGTGCTTGGCGCCGTTGATGAGGACATTTCGCTTCTACAACACCCCAGTCAGTGTCGCGCTAATACATATGTTTGGAAAGAAGAACCGGCAATGCGGCGCCGAGAAGCAGAAACACGCTGTGGGACGTCAACCGGTTGAGAAGGCGCAGCACGGCCTCGAGAAAGAGCTCCCAGCCCTGGTTCGCATGCGCCCCGCGGCATTGGCGCGTACGCTCAGCACTGCATTCAGCAATAGCACACCCTACGCCATAGTATGCGGCCTTTCACCCACGCAAATCGCAATCGAGGTGCACCTGCTTGGCCCAGCTTTCTAGCGACTGCAGTGACGCGCTCGGTGCATGCGGGAGCTTCAAGTCCCGAACGAGTTCGCCATAGAGAGCTTGGAGGCTCGTCGAGACAGAGGCGGTTGGCGGCAATCCAAAGCACAACCCCGTCGCCTTGTCGACAGAGGCGTACGGCTCGGCGCCGAGAACAACAACGCGGACGCTCTCGAGCGGGCATGCGTTAAACGCCGCCAGGAGATTGGGAACGCGCGGACACACTTCGTGCCCTCGCCTAGAGCACACAATGAGCTTTCGACAACGAAGAACTAGCACCAACTCTGCTTCGAGTGCCAAGAAGGCCGCGAGCCGTCGCATGTAGGCCTTCTCAAACTCGGTCGAAAGCACACAGCGCCACGAGTCCTCCTGGAGCAGGTTCGACCACAGAAGCGGCGGCGCGCTCTCTTTCCGCGGCCGCTTGGCGAGAGGCTCGTCCGAGACGACGGGCACGTGGGTGCTTCGTAAGCGGGCGAGAAACGCAAATGCTTTGGCCGACGACATGGCGCAGTAGCTGGCGACGAGGGTGTCGACTGATAGGTCCGAGAGCATCGTCCGGATGTCCGTATCGCGCTGGAGAAGCGCGTGTGTCCGCGCTTCAAAGGCGCTTACGACATCGGTCGGTGGCACATGAACCACAAAGGCCAGCACGAGGCACATGACGAGGAGCGGGCCGAGCCCGACGCTGCGAAAGACAGCGTGCGCGTGCAGCGCCTGGCGCACCTCCAGTAGTAGCCACTGGGTCGCACTGGGCTGCGTCGTAATCGCCGTCTTGAGCACATGCGGGAGGAAGAGCGCATCAATCGCTGCCATCATGGCCGTGGAAAGTTGTGCGGGGTCCATGGGCGCGGTAGCCATCGCGATGCGCTTGAGCGACCGGAGGAGCCACGAGCAAGGGTGCAGCGCCGAGGATGTGCACACAAGGTGGCACGGCGACGCTAACCAGGATGGCAGTCGCTTCTGCGCCAGCGATAGTCGCAGAACGCCGGTCAGAATCGCTTGGCCGAGTGCATCAATGTCGCCTTTGCATTCACTCGGCAAGTACTGCTGCATGAGCGTGCAATGGACGATAGGTGCGAGCCGAGGGTCGTCGCAATACGCGAGGAGCGTGACCCACGACGCACAGTCCAAGGCCACGTACGGCGTGGAGAGGGAGCCGCTTGTGTCGTGGCCGATGAAAACCCGACCGTTGACGCAGCCTTCGTCGGCACGACGACCGATCGTGCCAGCGTCGCCGCAAAGGCATTCCACGAGGCGTGACTGCCAAGCAGCATGGACTGTCGCGCTGCATGGATGATGCACGACGTGATGGGCAGTGAGCGCAGCGCGGGGAGGCTGAACCACTGCTGCAGCGTCGCCGCGTGCGCCGGGGCCTGCCACAGCAACGTAACAAGTGCCGCCGAGACGTGCGGTCGCTCCAAGACGCGGGCCCACGGCAAGTCGGGCCACGAGGCTGTGATGCAAATCCAGTTGGGGAGCTCCGATATGGAGATGCGCGTCAGCGCGGTCTGTAGCACGTTGCTCCAGTGCTCGTCGAGCAGCCAGCCGCGTATCGAGGTGACGCCGTGGGTAAAGTGGTCCAGATGCGACGCATCGACGCAGTGGACCGCCGTGTGCAGAAGAAAGGCCGTGAGCGCACGCAAGTCGAGCGGCATATCGGTCTCGAGGGCGTGGCGCAAAAGTGTCTCGAGCCGCAGCCGGGACATGGGCAGACCGTTCGCGTTCGGATTCGTGTACCGCTCGCCGTACGCGACCAAAAGCGTGGACGGCGGCACCAGGTGGCTCGCCCACGCTTCGGCGACCACCGACCCCGTCTGCCGCAGCCACAAGACAATCTGGTTCCATAGACGCGTCCAGTTGCGACGATCGGACGTTTTCAGCGACGAGGTGACGAGACTGAAAAAGAGCGCGTCCAGAAACTGGTTGTCGTCCGCGCAGCAGCGCGCCCAGAGCGCCTTGCCGTCGTGACCGTCGTGCACGAACGAGAGGAAGAAGCGCACAAGTGCGTTCGAGTGGCTCGTCCACGCGTCATCAAAGGTGACGTCCCCGAGAACGTCGGCCAGCAGCACGCGACTGGGCCACGACGGTCCGCGGACGCTTCCGATCGCTCGATTTCGATCGAGAAGGTGGCATAGCAGCGCGCGCCCGCGGGGGTACGAGAGCTGCGTCGCGACGGCGGTCGCCAAAGCCAATGCGACGTGGGGCGCATCCACGCACGCGTCGCTCAGCACCGAATCGTCAATGGCCACGCAGCGAATCCAGTCCGTCTCCTCCTCGCCGCGCAAGAGACAGGCGTGGAGGACGCGCGACCAAACGCGGGGCGGCAGAGCCTCTTTCGTCGTCGATATGGCGAGCGCCGCGTCGTCCAACACGAGCCGGTGCGAGTTCTCGAGGTCAATGTGGCGGCCACGGGACACCACCAAGGACGCCGCCCGCGTGACGAGGTAGTTTTGGACCGGCAAGTACGATGCTTCGTTTTGGTGGTGCACAAGCTCGGCGCCGACGCCGAGCGCAGCCACCCAGAACGCATCGCTGGGCGTTGTCGTCTCGGCGCCCAAGACGAGGTCGTACACGGCATGTAGCGCGTCAGAGATCGACCACGCAGCGTAGACGCGGGCGAGGTGCGCCATGGCGTCCGCGAGATGCGCAGCCGGGCTCTGGCGCGTCGACCATGACGCGTCAGTGGCTCGCAAGAGCTGGCAAAGCAGGGCATGCGCCCAGCGTCGACGACCGGCCAGGAAGCGGCGGGCGCCGCTGCGCTCGAGCGCCGCGGCTTCCAGAAAGGCGTCCAGCAGCGACGAGAGGCACAGCTGCAGGTGCGACGCCGTGCGCTGAACGAGTTTTGCGCCGTGCCCGAGCACTGGCGCCTCGAGGTGGTCCTTGCAGAACGTATCCATGTCCCACGCGAGGACGACGACGGCGCTAAGAGCGGTCGGGCCCGACGCGGCGAGCGTCCGCAGCCTGCGTACGTGGACGGGACAGAGCCCTAGTCCAGGTTTTCACGCATGAGTCGCATGGTGAAGAGGCCTATGTACCTGTTGTGGGCGCTGTCATGGCATAAATAACATCCATCGGAAGACGCAATGCGGGTAGCGACAGCGGGGTGGCAGGAGCGTTCGTGGGCGGGCACCCGATGGCGACGAGTCGTTCGAGCGTTGCGCCGACCTGCTCCGACTGCGGTCCGTAGGCTCGTAGCTGATCGGTCAACCGAAGCACGTTGTCGCGACGAGCCAATCCGAACGAGTCGCTGGGTTCGCGTTCCAAGAGGAAGCACGCGTCTTGGACCCACGCCAGCGGCGCCGCGTCTTCCAGGGCCGTTGAGAGCACGCGCAGGCGTAGGTCGATGGGCAGTAGCGGCGGTGCCAGCAGCTCAAGCTGCTGCTTGGGAGCAAGCGCCGTCACAACGACCCGAAATTGCGCGGGCGAGGCCAGCGTTAGCAAGAGCCGCGCGCTCGACACCGCCTTTGGCTCGTGCGTCGCCCATCGGCGGACCATGTGCGCCAGCAAGAACGGGGCGGACGTCAGCAGCGCTTGTACTTCGTCGAGGTCTGCACCATGAAGGAGGGCCGTCGCTGCCGCTGCTGCTCGGCGCTCGATCCCGGCCATTGCCTGCAAAGTGCGACGTCGCATCTAGCCGGCTCCGCAAAGTGCGATTGCTTCGACCAATCCGAGACAGGTATCAAGACTTCAACGCCCGCACTGTTGCTTTCCACAAGAAAGGCTTGGCGATGTCGAGGTAAGTGGCAATGCAAATGGACGAATATATATTACGACGCGCAAGCCAGGTCTCACCCTGTGGCGCTTACTCGACGGTCCAGTCGATCGGGTCCTTGCCCTGCTGGACAAGGTATGCGTTCGTCTTGGAGAAGCAGCGCGACCCGATGAAAGGCTCGGCCGTCTTGGTGGCGCCGAGCGGCGACGGGTGGGAGCTCGTGAGGACGCAGTGCTTGGACCGGTCGATCAATGCAATTTTTTCCTACTTGACAATGAAAAGACGGCAGGAAATCAGGTTGTACGCGGTACCTGCGCCGGTTTGCCCCAGAGAAGGAACACGACGCCGGACGTCTCCTTGCTAATCTTGCGCATGATGACGTCCGTAAATGTCTCCCAGCCCTGCTTCTTGTGCGAGTTGGCCTCGGTCGCGCGCACCGTCAGCACCGTATTGAGCAGCAAGACGCCCTACACCGACGTTAAATACTACTATCAATGTATCGAGATGTAGCTTGGGTACAGTACCTGGTCACACCATGAGAGCAAGCAGCCGTGCGATGGCTTGGGAATGTTCACGTCCGCCATCGCTTCCTTGTAGATGTTCTTGAGGCTCGGCGGCGGCGGCACGGGCTTTTGCACCGAGAAGCAGAGACCGTGCGCCTAGGAAACCAATGAGGTGGGTCAGCACAGTCGAGAGTATACCTGACCGGGGCCATGGTACGGGTCTTGACCGAGGATGACCACTTTGATCTTATCGAACGGGCAGAGGTTGAGCGCGGTGAAGATCTCGCTCTTCGGCGGAAAGATCTTGGCTTTTTCCTAGGCCAAACTGAGCGCGGGTCGGTGGCAAGCCAAATACTGACTGTTGCTCCCGCACGAGGAACGCGTCGAGCGACTTGAAGTAGCTCTTCTTGAACTCGGGGGCGAGCATCTCGCGCCAAGTGAGCTCGGTCAAGAGGTCGCCCACGGACGCCGCCGGCGCGGCCGAGGTGGTCGTGGTCGGCGCGACCTCTGCCGGCGCCGCTTCTGTCGACGTTGGGGTTTCCTTGACCTTCTTGGCCGCTGGCTCGGCGCTGCTGCGGCTGGCGGCGGCTCGCTTCGGCCGGTCGGTCGCCGTGAAGAAGGCTCGGATGTCACTCATGCGTGCGAATCGAAAATGGCGGCAAGCGTCGCAAGGGCCAATCAGATGCGATTTTTGCAACTGAAATAGTGTGCTGCGGCGCGTGACAAGAGGTGACAAGAAGGGTGTCTAGTCGCTGCAAAGTGCAACGGCGAGCCCGAGTATATGGCGCATGGCGCTCTTGATAGACGGACGTAAGATGCTGAAGTGCTCGCAGAACGACGGTACTAACTCATTGCACTTGCGCGCCGCATGGTATACAAGCACACTATTTCCGCAGAGGGTGACATGCAGAACTTATTTCCCGCCACCACGCTCACGCATTGGCCACAGCCGCTTGCGCGCGAAAGGTACCAAGTTCGCCGTCATGGCCTGCATACAAGCACACATAATGTCTTCACAGCGAACTTCACGGACTTACACGTAGAGAATCGTGCTTCTTCTTCGCGTGCTAGCCAAGCTGCCGTCTTCGTCCAACAGGGCTGGCCCTTCATGCTTCCAAGGAGAGTCTTTAGATTGAGAGATCAGGCTACGGTGCTGCCGACGACCCTTGGAGCTCCGTTATGCAAGTGGTTTATCCCTATTTCAAGCGGAATGGAAGAGTTTAAGCCAAAGGTCTGCATCCGACCACAAGGACACGCCATCGGAACCGGCGCGGAAATATCCATGGGGCTGCAAAAGACCACCATTTTGACCAATCACACACTGCAGTCTGGATGAAGAAGCTCACTTTGCACTTTGCAATGAACTTTGAGCTCGACGAGACTGTCCGGGCGTACGTGGCCCGCGCCGACGTGATGCCTGGGCGCGACCACAGCGACGACGTGGTCTCGGCCGTGCGCCTCTCGGGCGGCCTCGTGAACCATGTGTGGCGCGTCACCTTTGCCTCGGGCACCACGGTCGTCCTCAAGCAGTTTCCTGCCACGGTCAAATGGAACCCGAGCCTGCGACTGCCCACGCAGCGGTCCGAGGTCGAGCACTGCGCGCTCACGTGCATGAAAGCCGAGTGCAAGGCACGCGCTGGCTGGTCGACGCCATACCCGATCTTTTATGACCGTGAAGAGAGCGTCGTCATCATGTCGGACGCCGGCGATGCGCTCGTCACGCTCTTTGATTTGCTGCGACGCGATCACGGTGCGCCACCAGCGCTCCACTTTGTGTCAGGCGCCGTCGCCGAGTTTGTGGCGAGTGTCCACGATGTTGTCGTGCCCATGGCGCCGGCCGAGCACATGTCGCCCATTTTGATCGCGCTCCACGAAGCTGCGCGGCCGTCGCTCGTCAAAGCCCTTGGCGACGAAGTCGGCGCGATGTGGTATGCACGCAGCCTTGCCGCACGCAACGTGCTCCAGCAGTGGATCTTTGGCGATCTCTGGCCAAGCAGCGTCCTTGTCAACGTCCTTGGTCAAAGCGTGAGCGTCGTCGACTGGGAGTGCTGCCGCGTCGGACACGTGGGCATGGACGTTGCTCAAATGGCCGCCAACCTCCACCTCATGACGCTCGGCAAGCCGTTCCACAACGCCGAGTCCAAGGGTGTTATGACAGCCTTTATCGCAGCCACACAAGCGTCCCGCGCTTTCGACAAGACGTTTGATTATGCCGGTGCGTTCGTCGGTCACGTTGCAATGCTGGTCGTGTACCCGCATTGGGAGCTGCCAAATGGCGCCGACGAGGCCATAGTGCAAGCGGCGCGCGACGCCGAAACTTTGTTTGCTCTCGATGCTTGACGTGCTCGAAGAAATGCTTTTTGAGAAGTTGCATAAACTTATATCCCAGCTTCGTTCTACGTGGCTCGTACTACCACACACGACAGCCATGCACCCGTGGTGCATAGCTGAATCAATAAACCGCGCGCCGCAGCTACTACTACACGCTTGCACGCCCAGCACTTGCTCGTCGAGGCGTGGTGTCATCGCTCGCCGAGTCGCTTCACGCTCTCCGCGACACCCCTTGGCGCTACCTCGTTCCTCGCGCAGTCCCGCAACAAGGTTCCTTGCTTGACGCAGCGGCCTGCTTTACAATCGCATTAGAGAGTGCGCTATACAATTGTATGGTAACAATCATGGGTAACAATACCTCCATTCAACAACAGCGCTGAGTACCAACTGGTATTGCGCCGAGAGCATGTGGTTCGGATGCCCAGCTGCAGCGTGCAGCTGAGGGTCGTTGCTTCGAATATGCACGCACCAATGCGACGATGCCTCCTCAGGTCTGCCATGGACACCGCGTCCTCAGCTCTGCCATAGACACCGCATCAGTCTTGCGCTCACCTCTGCGTGCGCTGACAATCTGTCTTCATTTCGTGTCGTCAACACGTG